TCAAAGAAACATCAGCATAGATGCACAAAATGGTCCTTCAACGTTTGAGAGGGTTCTCAAACCCAAACACCCAGCTGGATCCTTTTGGAATTGAGGCTCCAAATTGAAAACCCCTACTTTTCATTGGAGAATCCACCCAGCAATCAAACACTGGGATCTAATGTGGGCAGAGCCATCTCCTTGCTGCTCTGGGAGCTGCTTTGTGAAGCAGCAGACGTGCCCGTTTGAGCAGCGCTGCATAGATTTGTACTGCAGATCAAGAGGCAGCCACTTGGCCTCTGCAGCGATCACAGTTCAATGTTGCTGCAAAAGCACACTATGAGATCTCTGACAGGGTTAAAATTACCCTCTTTCCACTAGCAGAACTTTAATTTTGTTCTGTCCATTGCCTGCTATTAGAAATCATATTGATGTAATAGCAGAATAAAAATAGAACTTTCCTCCTGCCTTATCTAAATAGGGTACTTTATCATATGACTGTTTCCCTTCTGAACAGAAGAGGTTCTTTCTCCATCAAGGCTCTTTTAAAGACAGATGTCTTTACCACTCCACTTGGTGATGTGAGTCTCCCCACCACACCCTTAACTTTCTTTTTACAGCTTTTTTGAGGCATAGTTCATATGCAGTAAACATATTTAAAGTGTAGTTTGAGTATCAACATATGAATACATCTGTGAAAGCATCATGACAATAAAAAAAAATGAGTAGATCCATCCCCGCTCAAAATTTCCAAGGAACCGCTGATCCGCTTTTGTTACTATAAATTTGTTTGCATTTTCTAGACTTTTATATAAAGGGAAGCATGTGCTCCTTTTTGTCTGGCTTCTTTCATTCAGCATCAGTATTTTCCATTCCATCCATATTGTGTGTATCAATAATTTGTTGCCTTTTATTGATAAATAGTATTTCATCATATGGATGTGCCATAATTTATTTATACACCTGTTGACTGGCTAGGTTGTTTCTAGGTTTTGATTATTACAAATGAAGCTGCTAAGAGCATTCTATATTGTTAAAGAACAAAAATTCAACCAAGTAAATTTGAAGATCTAACTGGCTTTATTGAGCAATTCATGAATGGGCAGCATCCCATCCAGCAATTAGAAGGGAGCTCCAAACGGTTGTACAGAAAACTAAAAGGGTGTGTTTTTTTTTGTTTTTGTTTTTTTATCCTCACCCGAGGACATTTTTCTATTTTTTGTTCAGATAGAGCGGGAGGGAGAGAGAGGAAGAGAGAGAGAGAAACATCGATGTGAAGGGACACATCGAGTGGCTGCCACCCGCACAACCAACCAGGGCCGGGGACAAACTGCAACCGAGGTACATGCCCTTAGCGGGAACCGAACCCGGGTCTCTCTGTAGAGCAGGCCGACGCTCCAACCGCTGAGCCAAACCGGCCAGGGCTAAAAGGGTTGTTTTTTTTAATAGGCACAAACTGGTCAGGACAAATAAGTTAGTAGCAAAAGAAAAGAAAGGCTTGTTTCAAGCAAGGGTACCTCTCTTTGAGGAAGGCAGCAGGGGTCTTATCAGGAAATTCCAAACTGGTTGGTTTAAGGTCACTTTCCTGGGAGGAGTTAAGACTGCAAGCAAGTCTTGGTTTTATGTCTTGGGGGCAAGCAGCTCCACCTTGAGCCTGTTGTTTATTGTTCTTAACAATAGGAACGTCTTTGTGCTTACAAATGTTCATTTCTCTTGGATAAATACCTAGAAGTGGCATATTTATATCATAGGGTAGGTATATTTTTTAACATTTTAAGAAACCACCAAACGGATTTTTAAAGCAGTTATTCTATTTTACATCTCCACCAGCAGTGTAGGAGGGTTGTGCTTGCTCCACATCCTTGTCAACATTTGGAATGGCCAGTCTTTCTCATTTTAGCCATTCTAATGGGTATGTAGTGGTATTTCATTGTGGTTTTAATTTATACTGATGAGCATCTTTTTTTTTTTTTTTTTTTTTTTTTATCCTCACCTGAGGATATTTTTCCATTTTTTGTACAGATAGAGCGGGAGGGAGAGAGAGGAAGGGAGAGAAAGAGAGAAACATCGATGTGAAGGGACACATCGAGTGGCTGCCACCCGCACGACCTACCAGGGCCGGGGACAAACTGCAACCGAAGTACGTGCCCTTAGCGGGAACCGAACCCGGGTCTCTCCGGACCGCAGGCCGATGCTTTAACCGCTGAGCCAAACTGGCCAGGGCTGATGAGCATCTTTTTATGTATCTGTTTCCTTTTGTATGTTTTCTTTTTTTTCCCTCACCCGAGGACATTTTTCCATTTTTTGTTCAGGTAGAGTGGGAGGGAGAGAGAGGAACAGAGAGAGAGAGAAACATCGATGTGAAAGGAACACATCGAGTGGCTGCCACCCGCACAACCGACCAGGGCCGGGGACAAACTGCAACCGAGGTACATGCCCTTAGCGGGAACCGAACCCGGGTCTCTCAGGACCGCAGGCCGACGCTCCAACCGCTGAACCAAACTGGCCAGGGCTTTTGTATGTTTTCTTTGATGAAGTGGTCAGATCTTTTGCCCATTTTTTATTGAGTTGTCTGTCTTATTATTGAACTTTTAGAGTTCTTTATATTTTCTAGATAGGAGTTCTTTGTCAGATATATTTTCTGCAGATAGTTTCTCTAAAGGCCTTCTGATCCATGAACATAGGTCTTCTTTAATATTTTCGACAATGTTTGCAGTTTTTAGCATTCAAATTGTACACATCTGTTGTCAAATTTAACTCCAGATAGTTTATCATTATTAGTGCTATTATAAATTAAATTCCCAATTTAATTTTTAAAATTTAATTCACAATTTTTATTGCTTATATATAAAAATATAATTGATATTTATATATTGACTTTATGTCCTGTGACCTTGCTAAACTCACTTATTAGTTTTTTGTTTTGTTTTTTAGAGATGCCTTAGAATTTTCTACATAGACATTCATGTTATTAGTAAACAACTACAATTTCTCTTCTCCCTTGTCATCTGTCTGTTGTTGTTGTTTTTTCTTGTCATATTGTATTAGCTAGGAATTCTAGTACAATATTGATAGAAGTGTGAAAACAGAAATCTTGACCTAATTTTTTTATCTTAGCAGGAGAAACTCAGTCTTTCACCATTTACTATGAGTCCACCATACCTCTAATTCTTTACTTATTCATCTTGTGTTGGCCACTGCAGATAAACCATTTAATAATGCCTATGAACCATTATTTACCTGGTAACCTTACAGCATGCATTGTTTCAGACAAATATGATGCAAGCCTTTTATAATTAAGTGGTGGCAAATGCCACCATTTGGCTGCATATGAGAATCACCTGGGGATCTTTTAAAATTCTTGATGCTCAGGCCATACACCAGACCAATTCCATCAGTAGCCCGGGTTGAATTATATATTTATCCATTTTATCACAACTTTATAACAAAAGAACTGTTATGATCATTTAACTGGTAAGTAAAGTTTAGAGAGAAGATAAATAACTGGACCAGGGTTACATAGGCATGTTGACTCCAGAACCTACATATAATGAAATTGCTTACCTATGGCTGTGTTAAAAAGCCAAAAGCACTTAACCCCTTTCTCCCACCTCTCCATGGTTCTAGTGTTGTTTTGGAACTGGTCTAGGAAGCCACCACATGAGGAATTGTTCCAACAGTGTGTTGGTCTCTTTTTCATTTTTCACTTCTTCACAAGTCTGTACTGAATTCTGAATTTCTGTATAGTGGTATGTTTCAGTCCTAAGGTGAGAGGATGAGGTATGAAGGGGTAAGGCCAGGGTCCAAAAGCCATCTTTTTGAGACTCCTGAGAATGAGTGTGATACCTGAGCTTTCTACATCAAAGAGGGGATGGGACACCAAAAAGGGAATTAATTCAACGAACATCTCCTGTGTCACAGTGTGCCAGGTGCCCTGAGGGATAGGCGTTACCCCAGTGCTGCAGATGAGGAAACAGGTTCTGAGTGGTTCAGTAATCCACCCAGTGTCAAAACTAGTAGCAGGCAAAGCCAAGTTCAAACTCAGGTCTATCCAATTCCCAAGTCCATGCCCTCTTCCCCCGCTTAGAGGCTCCAAAATTGTCGAGCAAGAGATAGCAGTTGCACTTTTCTCCAGCATGTCTACACATTTCTGAATCTGGAGATTACCGTGCACAGCATGGAGGAGAGATGCAGAAAAGAATGTTGGAAGAGGAGTTTTGAAATTAGGAAGGAACAAGGTGGTGTCAGTCAGAATGTACATCCATGGTGGAGGTTGGCGAGGAACTCTCCTCCCATTTCTTAGTTCTGTTCTTGGATGAATTTGGGAAGAATTCAGCTGGGACGCCTTTTAAATTACATCGGGGGTTGGAGTTTCAATATCTTTTTTTTAACACCATAAAAACCAAAAAGCAAGACGCATTTTAAAAAAACCTTTCAATTAGTTCAAAAGAGGGAACTTCTCCATGTCTTCTCCCGGGACAGCTTGCAGTGAAAACACTGGAAATGGATTGCTCCTTTAGGAACAGCCCTCCCGATCATCTGGTGGTTGTTGCTCTCTTGACGATTTTGTCTTCTAAGCTCCACCTGAGTCACACATTTTTTCTTCTGGTCCCACATTTGTTTTGTCACAAGTACCAGCTGACCCGTAGCTCGGGCTTTCGTGTTCACTCAGAGTATTCTTGGGGAACTTTCATGTGCATATATTTATTTTATGTACAAGTAAAAGTACAAATAAAGGACAATGAAGGTATAAATAAAGAACGCATAAGGATTTTTCTTTCTCCCATATAATCTTAAGGAAATATATCAAAAGGACTTTGCAGGAACCCCTGGCTCCCAACTTTACCTTTCTCACATGAAAAATGGAAGGCCAGTGAGTTTCACACGTTTTCCCCAAGGTTCTTGAAGGCACGTGGTGACAGGGACAACCTAAAACCAGATGTCCAGCTGTGTCCCCGTGAGTGTGCTTCTGGTCACAGTGGTTGCCACCTTGATGCATTTGGCTTGTTCTTCACCCACAGGTGCTTCAGAAACCAACCCCGGAACTCAAGCACCAGCTGGCCGCTCTCTCCAAGCGAGTGGCTGGCGCCGTGACTGAGCTCATCCAGGCAGCAGAAGCCATGAAAGGTAGGTGGGACCCTCTCGTGTCCCCTCATCGGGCGGAGCTAGTGCAGCGACCTGAGCAGAGAAAATCTGCAGCACCGCAGGCCCTTTCTTGGCATATGCAGTCAGAAGGAATACAGGGAGGTGCTTTTCTTTAAAAAACCAAATGGGAGTAGAGTTAGATGTAAAAAGTAGTATTCTCCTGAAGCGAGTCTTGTCTCCAGCCTTCATGTTGAGCACTTCTACTTACATGGCAGAATCTAACTAGAACTGCCCACTTCTCTTTTAAGGGTCTCGCCACTTATTTTCATCTGTGTTTTCATTCATAGAGTATTTATTCTTATTTAAATAACTCCCTTCATGTTTAGAAAGTGGTGCTATCTGGGTACGTTGTTGGCACACCCGTCGCAGCTCCACAGAAGCAATCACCTCACCAGGGGAAGGTTTTCTCACCGGTTTCGCTTTGTTTGAATTGAGGTGAGAGGCTATTCCTCATGAGTGCGCAGAAGAGCATTGTAAATCTCTTTGTGCTGAGCATAGTCTCGAGTCTCCTGAGGATGTCTGCGTGCAGTCGTGGCCCTAGGTTAAAAGTCAGAGTCACGTTCAAGCTGGCCGTAGTCCGTGAAAGCTTGATTTTTGAAACTATCACTGATCACCGCCCCTGTGGTAGGACTGCACACACAACTGTTTGCGAAAACCCGGATCAGACAAGCGCGCCTCTGCGCCCAGCTGATCTCTGAGAGCTAGAGGGTCCCTCCCTGAGGACGGCGCAGCTAGTAGGCTCAGGGAACTTCTCTGCATGCGAGTCCAGATGTTGTTTGTAATTAAGTCAGTGCCCTGAGGTTTGCAGCTACCAAGAATGACCCTCTTTGGACTGATTTTAGGAACAGAGTGGGTGGATCCAGAAGACCCAACCGTCATTGCAGAAACAGAATTACTGGGGGCTGCAGCATCCATTGAGGCTGCTGCTAAGAAGTTAGAGCAACTGAAGCCAAGAGCAAAACCAAAAGTGAGTGTCCATGTGTGGCTGCTTGTCTGCTGTCAGCAGGTCTTCCGGTGGACGGCCGTGAGATGGAGCTAGGTGTGCTGCAGGGAGCTTGTGTTGTTCCGAGAGGTCAGACTAGCAGGCTGCAAACCTGCTCTACCCGCCCAGCACCGTGTCACAGGGCACGGGAAAAGTTAACCACCCAGAAAAACACCTTTGGGTATCCAGAGGGAGAATTAGACAATTCTGATCTTAACTCAGTTCCGTTACATATAAAGCAGGTGTTGGATGCTTCCTTACTACATCTCTGTTAGTGAATGTAAGATTGTCACCCTCAAATTTTCTGGTTGCCATATGCCTTTAACAGAGAGACAGCAATGCTGGGTCTCTCCTTTTCTTACCATTAAAAGAGGACCGTGTGACTCTCAAAAGTGCACCCAGTTACTGGCTTTTTCAGTATATGCTGGAGACTGGGATTGGATGGTGTGTTTTCTCCAGCTATATTTGTCATGTAGAGATAAATGTTTAGAATTTGAGATCATGCGTATATGTTAAGAGGCACAGCGATTAAAGGAAAGAAATACTTTATGTTTGGGCAGCAGAGAGGACAATTATTAAGTAAAAGGATGGTGAGCTAGTGCTGTCCAGGGCAAAGCCCAACCCTGTTAAGAAGCTGTAACCTCCCCACCCCACCCCCATGGCTGTCTTCAAGGAGAAGAGAGCAGAACCAGAGGAGGCCTCTCTTTTTGGTGTATTCAAGTAAGTCCCTTCTGGTACCGGTAACCTCACCTTCCTTCCAAGGACCCAAATACAGTCAAAAATAAAGTCTAGCTCTTACACTCAAAAAAGTTGGATCCCTCAGTTTAAGGTATGCCAAAGATGTTACCTTTTTTATAAGACCAAAAGGTGGAGCCTGCGCACTGGAGACCAGTCTGCTCCAAAGCGGTGATGGGTCAGTGCTGTGTGCAAATACACACCAGCGTGCAGGGAACCTGTCCGGCTGGGGAACGTTCTTAAAGCCGTGGAGTTCTAGAACCGATCTACGGATAGTCACTCCAGACTTGGTAAAGGAGTTTTAAAATTTTCTTATCAAGGTGTAATTGAAAACTTTTGGATTCTGGTTTGGGAATTAATAAGGATTATCTTCGCTGGCCTCTAACCTGGGAATCTTGGGTTGTCTGCGATTGAGTTTTTCTTAACAAACTTAAGAGCTAAGTGTGAATATGGGAGAAACGCCATTTCCCAGTTATATCTTCGTTTCTGCTTTGTAAATCAAGTTAGTCCTGAATGGAAAATGTGCTTCCAACTTAAGCAAGCAGCAACCATTGACTAATATTTAGAGGCTTCATGCTTAATTTGTTTTTCCTTTTTCTTATATGATTTATTACAAGTGGCCCCTCTTGGGAAAGCTTCCCTCTGCTAATTCTGAGGTCCTGTCAGCTGACACTCCTTCTCCCTGAGAGTTAACCTGGTGCTAATTTAACGCCAACATGTCACCATATTCCAAGACCTCCCGTTCCAATCCTGTCCCTTTGTCCTTTGGCCAGGTCCTTCTGAGTTCTCATCTATCTCCGAATCTGGGTTTCCCTCTGCCAGCCATTTATTTACCTGATAATTCTTGATCTGAAAGCCAAAGTTATTAGAGTTGCTCCCCCATCGGATCGTTGTTATAACAAGTGAGATCATTTAAGAATACAGTGCCTGACATCCAGTTAGACTTAGTAAGCATAACTGGTTCACCATCACTGAAAATAGGCTCTGTCTGGGACGTTTATATACTACCTCCTAGGAAAATGCCTGAAACAAGAACTATTCCATAGAACCGTGAGCTGATGGCCTTGGCAGGAAGAAAGAAAAAGAAAATCACAACCAAAAGCTCGCACTGATTGGCTGCCGAGCACGTGCCCGCAATCTCGTGGGTGCCCGACAGGGATCAGCACGGATCAGCACGTCTGGTCCTTGCCACAAGCCCACCAGGCAGCGCTGCTCCCTCCCCTGCTCTGCGGTGCAGAGTCCCAGCAGGGTGCCTGGCCAGCCGGAGGGCCGTGACTGCGCCGGCAGCAGGACGCGTGTGCTCTGGGCGGCAGCCCTGGTTCATACCAGTCCTCTGGGCCCACCCCGTGTCCGAGAGGCTGGTGCAGCCCCATGGGGGCCGTTTTTGGTTTGCCTGTGCCCTTGGAGCCATTCATACCCCTCTGGGAATCTGTCCTGAGGAGGAAGTCCAGAGAGGAAGAAAGTTGTGTGTGAGAGAGGGCTGTTTCTTTCATCCTGTTTGTAGCAGTGGGCAGCGGGATGCGCCTTGAGTGTGTCCTTGAGGGAAATGTATGCGGCTGTGAAAAATAATGGTTGATAAGACTAGCATAAAGACGCTCATGGTATAATGTAAAGTAAGGAGGAAAGAAAGAATACAGACCTGTGTACTCATTATGGTTACGCTGTGAAAACCACCAGCATATGAAGGAGCCAGGTGGGGAGTGTCCAAAATGGTGGGGTTGGGGTGATGGGAGGGTCTATGTTTTAAAAATAAGAGCACTTAAATTAGTGATGGCTGCTGACATGGGCAGGTGGGCACTGCCCACACTGCTCAGGATCTTTTACCTTGTGTTTACTGTGCATGTCTGTGTGTGTGTTATGGAAAGCCAAGAAATCCTCCTTTGGTTAAGGTCATAGTTAACCAACTGTTGATTTGAGTCCGTGCACTTCACGATGGGCTACCTGCTTCCGGTCGCTCTCATCGCCCTCCTCGGAAGGGTGCTGGGTACTTCTAGAGTGCTTTAGGACGACCTGAAGTCTCTCTCTGCCCAGTGACCAGAGGCTCTTGCCACATGGCTTAAATTATCTATAAAACTGTTTTGAAGAAACCATCAAACAGAACCATAGCTTTTACGAGAATACCTTTCTGTGTACTAGATAGGATGCTGCCTGATTCATGAATCATTCAATAAAGCCAATTAGATCTTTAAAAAATAAAATAGAACATAGTTTTTGTGCCTGTCTCGGAGTGCCATCTGCTTTGTGGTAATATCCGCATGAAGTAAAGTATCTTTCTTGTGTTTATAAAGTAATTTATTTCCCCAGTAAAAAAAAAAAGAAAGAAAGAAAAAGAACAATCCCATTTTGACAGCCAGATCACCAGTCTTGTGAGATGAATTGGTTTTCTCCATCCCCTCTCATAGTCTGAAAAACAAAACCAAACAAAACTCCGGATTCTGTGAATAAGCAGTTCCCGTGACATCCCTGTCCTGTAGCTGCACACAGCCCGCAGGCCCTCGGCCGAGGAGCACGCTTCCCTTCCGCCCCGGGCCAGCGTTCACTCTGCTTTGAGAAACAGTTTCGGGAATGGGCCATGCTTTTGTTTACATTGTTTTGCTCACCACATTCTCAGGTGGCCTGTTTTAAAAGTAGAATAGTCTGTGGTTTATGAAGATAATTCCTGGTTTATTCCCACTTCAGGCCCTTAAAATTTAAACACTTCTTTTTGCCTGGAATCTCCCAGACATGAATAACGAGCAAGTTTGCACTGTTGAGTCCACCGTGTGCTTGGGAAGATGGTCTAGAGGCAAAATGAGAATGTCGGGAGCTCTGGAGCACGTGCCTACGATACCGCTAGTGGCGCCGATGCCGCACTTGCCGACAGACTGTGCTCGCAGACAGGAGAGGAGCCACGGCGGCCGCCCCTGCAGCCGGAGCCTGCAGAACTCGGCCTATGCCCGAGCCCAGTCAGACCTGGATGCCTCTTCTGCAGGCCTCTGTGTGATATGTTTGATATATTAGGTTGTTATTTAATCCAACTATATATCAAACATATTCCTACAGTGTCTTGCTCTGTCTCCGGGGGTTCCTAATACACTGTATCAGGCAGCAGGAAAGAACATGTTAAAATCACAAGTAGACTGGGAACATGGAGCGCTCACGACCTTTCATTCTGTTATATTCCGTTTCTTCTTGTAGCCTTTGAAATCTGTATCAGTATTGCTAGATCATTTTATTGTAGAAACAAATCATAATTATTGATGTTTCATACGAGCTTGGGATACGGTGTGCAACTTAGTAGGTGCACTGATGGATCCTCCAGGGATCTGCTCACTGGAAAAATGAAGGTTCTACCCCATGTTGGTGACGTGAAATATTAGGACTCTAACCTCTGAACACATGCTTTTAGTTTATATTTCATTTTAGTTCATTTTTATCCTGGTCTTCAGTTTAGCAATTAGTAATTTTCACCATCAAGGTTTCAGCAACAATTCAAGCACAAATCAACTACCTGCAACTTTCCTCTCCGCCCACAGTGACTAGTGTGTAAAGCAAATCGGCCATACCAGCTGTATGGACGATGAGCCGCCGGGCTTTAGGCAAAGCTTGGTTAGGGCCAAATGTATCTGATAAGGGTAATGTAGTGTGGGCTGGACTCGGTCTGTTGAATTTCCTGTTATAGATTAACTTGTCAGTAGAAGTTGATAATATTTAGACTAAGCCGACAATCAGAACATAATTCCATCGCCTAATTGGGTGCAGCGGGAAGTCCGGGATTATGACATATTTTTCCTGGCACGTCCCTGCCTCTGTGGTTGACTCGGACCTCTCCTCACAGAAGAGCCTGTGAAGTGTGTGAGTGTATTCTGGTCTCTCTCAAAGAAGACAGTGAGCACTGCTTTCTGGAAAGGGAACCACCGTGCTAAGAGCTCAGCTTTGAGGAGGGGGAAAGAAGTGTCCTTTTACAGAGCACTCCTGGGTTGCTGTCTGTCTGCAGAGCCCCTCACGGGGTGAGCCGGTGGTGTGAGCAGGTGGCTCAGGAAGGCCATCTCCAAGTTGCTTGCAGTGAATACATAGTGACAGGTCACAGCAGCGGCAGAGAAGTGATGACACAAGGGAGGGCCGTGCAGTGTTGGAGTCCTGACTGCGGGGGTTACGCTGTAGAACACTGGAGTCCACGAGTGAGGGTCCGCAGGCGCTCGTTCAGATGGCTTTCAGGGTGCTGCCAACTTCCCCCGGCTGCAAAGCATCCTTGAGGGCTTTGAGTGCAG